ACTATTATTGAATTATTTTTTTTCATTCGAACTTTCTTTGTGTTATTTTTTTGGTTTGGATTATCCTTATGTTATTTTTTTGTTCGGACTATCCTTGCGTTATTTTCTGGTAGGATTATCTTTGTGTTATTTTCTTGTCCCGTCTATCTTTGTGTTATTTTTTTTGTCACGACTAATCATGTGTTATTTTTTTCGTTCGGACTATTATTGTTTTTCATTCGGACTAACCATATTTTTTTTATTTTTGTTTAAAACGTTTTTTATGAATAATTATATGTATGTTTGTGTGTAGGTTTTATTTAACGGCTACGAAAATCGCAACAAATAATAACACCAGATAGTTCAAACTAAAAAATATTCCCTCTGTTCCAAAATTATTGTCCACGTTTGACTTTTTAAGTCTCTTTTGTTCAACTTTGACCTTAAATAATTTACTTTTTGTTATATATTTTTTTATGCAAAATATATGAATATATTGTTTTTTAAATGTATTTTCATTGTTATAAGTTTCATCAAAAATTATATAACACAAATAAAGTTATTTATGATCAAAATTGACATGGAAAGACTTCAAAAGTCAAACGTGGACAATAATTTTGGGACGGAGGGAGTAACACAATGATAGTTAGAACGAAAAAAATACCACATGGATATTCTGAATTGAAAAATAACACAAATATATTCTAAGTGAAAATATAACACAAAGATAGTCCGAATGAAAAAAAAATAACAAATGAATAGTTCGAATGGAAAATTAACACAAGGATACTCGGAAGGAAAAAAATAACACAAAAATAGGCCGTACAAAAAATATATTGAACGAAAAAAATAACATGGTATAATCCGACCGGAAAAAAAACAACAAAAACATAGTCGAAACGAAAAAAATAACATGGGATAACCCAAACAAAAAAATAATACATGATTAATAAGAACGAATAACACAATAATAGTTCGAATAAAGAACTTAACACAAAAATAATACGAACGAACAAAAAATATATTTTTAAAGTTAATAAAAATAATAAGTATTTATTAAAAATAGTAAAAAAAAACAATTAAAAAAAGAAAACATCATTTCAAGGAATAAACCAAACAATTTAGGGGTATATGACCAAATACCTTCGGCAAAACCCACAAAGTTATATTTATGACAGAAAAAACTAGGTGACATTGCACCTCTCTCTCTCCATCCTAGGATTAAGAATTACACTCTAAAGTAGGGGTGCTTTCCAAATGGGGTTGTTGTGGGTGCGTGATTGTCAAAATAAATAGTTAATGATTGTTTGGAAAAGTATTTTGGTAGATTGCCCTAAAATTTTTTTATAAAAAAAGGTAAAAAAGAAAGCTATTGAGGCAAATATGTGATCATAGAAAATTGAAAAATTGAAACAAAGAACAAAGAAAGGTAACAAGTATATGACCTGATATCGGAAAAGAACGAAATAAGAAACCAACAAATTTAACAGTGACCCATCTAATCGTTCCATTGTTTGCGCCACCGTGGGACCATCCTGCTACACCAACCATCGGTGCATCCACCGTCGGATTCCCCCTATACTCAAACTGTAAGATCGTCATTGCTTCCACTAGAAGAAATTCCTAAACATGTTTATGTAAAATACAACTTTAAATAAAAGTGTTAATTAACGCAATCCTTACTAATAATTTTATACTATCTTATTAAAACATCCATATAATAATAAGAGTTTTAAAAATCAAAGACGTTGCACCAATAGATTTTTTTTTACATTAATTGTCCAAATCGGAGTAGTGGCCCGGGACTTCAAGTTCCATTTTTTTTTTTTTGTAACGGCCATATTTCACACTTTGACCACTGACCATGTACGCTCAACGTATCAAACGTATGCCCAACGTACACATCAAAGTCACGCGGTTCATATTAATGCACCAAGGGACCAAGTTTGCACTAAAATTTCATATTAAGGGTCAACAATGTAAAATACCTGAATAACGAATGTTACACACTATTTCCAATATATGGGTGTGATAAGTTTTGTATTTATTGCATGAATAAGAGGAACTTATGCTTAATTGGGATTGGTCTTGGAGGATGAGATCTAGAATGAAGAGTAGATGGATATTCGGAATGGAGGGTCACCGATGAAAAAAGCAAGAAAGCGACGGTGATTCACTACCGTCTGCCACTTGAAGGCAGATCAAATTCAAAACTAGAAAACAATGATATACCACTATCTACCTCTTGAAGGCATATCAAATTCTAAACAAGAAAAATGATGATTCACAACCGTCTACCTCAAATCAAATTCAAAACATATTAAATTCGATACCAGAAAACAACAATTCATCATCATCTGCCTCTCACACATCTTTTTCCGTCACTCATACCCACTCCCTTACCTCCATCTATCTCTATCATCACCTCTTAGATTACCCTATTAAAACGACATGCATCTCTTCTCTTTAACTCTCTACTTTTTCCAATCAGTAGCCACCGTTTCCACCATCTTATACACATCTACTCCACATTGACGAGTATACATAGTATCAAGTGACCCACCTATTTTTATTTTACTTTTTGCTAAAAATAATTTATAAAATTTATATGTGACCCATCTAAAATTTGTATAGTGATCTATCTTAATTTGTTTTATAAATAAATTAATATAAAACTAAATTTTTAAACCAAATGTTTATCTCTCAATAGCCTAATTACTTAATTACCCATTAAGAAATAATTCAATGCAACTTTTGAGTGATATTTGTGTCACATATTAAAAAGATGAGTGATTAATTTTCCAGTAAGGTCGGACGGTGTGGGCGAGAGAAATGGTGAGGGAAGCTTTCCCTCTCAGTTGAACACTCCACCTTGACCGAGGGAAATGTGATCAGGGAAGGAGGTGAGGTAGCCCATTCCCTCACTCTCTCTCCTATTCCTATTGGCCAACTTTTTTTTAGCTTTTTTAATACTTATTAAATTATATACCTACTAAAAATTATAAAAAAAATATATCAAAACTCATCGTTTTTAATTCCATACAAAATGAGTATAATATTTGTAGGAAATATATTTAAAAATAAATAAATAAAAAAATAGTGAGAAGTTTTCTACCCATTCCTTGGGTTTAGGTGAAGGAAATAAAAGTGCGAGAAAGAGTGTTGTGGCCCACAAAAAGTGATGGGAGTTTCCCATCCACACCCTCCGGCCTCCGGTCTAATAGTTTAGTTTCATATATTGAAAAATAGTTTTAGATATTATTAGTAATGATACAGCTGTAAAATGTTTCAAGATATTATACCTAACGTGCTACTAGTATTATTATTATTACTTTTTTGATTATTTTATTTTTATCTATCGGTTTTATTTAAATTGTGAACCACTTATGTTTTCGTTCTAGACTTGTCAGTGACTTTCCACCGACTGCAATTTCATCTACATATCCGTTAAAGCCGTCAAAAACTGCCCACCACTCACCACCTATTCCCACTTCTACCCTATATTCACGAACCGAATCAAAGCTTATGACGATCTTGAACCCTGAATTCACAAACACAATATGGAAGGTTGCTTTATAAACAAATATCGATTTTTGAACTGGGGCATGTTCAATGCCATTTAATTATCATGTTTCTTGCTTATCATCTTTTCAGAAACCCATATTGTAGAAGGGTTGGATCAATTATTTACAACTGAAGTCATAATTAATATGATACTACAATGGGTCGATTTTGAATATGGTCGGCTTCACCACCCTAACATCCTCCATTAATAGGTCTCCAATGATCGATTATGATCTCAAAGGCAATAAGTAAATCTATCGTGTTACATCACTTGCAATGACCGGGTCCATAAGTGTAGATTGGTGGTTTATTTTCTCCGAGGAACCGATCAAAAAAAAATTAAAAATTAAAAATAAATACAAAAAATACAAAAAAAAGGAGGACCGTTTATACAATTATATACTACATTTGTCCCAAATTTATTATCCACTTTTGACTTTTAAAATATTTATTTTTCAACTTTAACCTTAAATATTTTTGTTTTAGATATATAATACTTGATGCAAAATATATGAGTGAATTGTGTTTTAAATGTCTTTTCATTGTTATAAGTTTCGTCAAGAAATACATAACACAAATAAAAATATTTAAGGTCAAAGTTGATGAATAAATACTTCAAAAGTCAAAAGTGGTCAATAATTATGAGAAGGAGGAAGTATCTTCTAAAAACCAATGTCGCATGGTCATTCTTTTGATTTTTCTCACTTATATTTTTCTTATATTTCATTTCATCCCTTTAATTTTCACTATTTGTTTATAATTGACAATTCTCTTTTCTTTAATAACCATCGCCTACAATTTTTAACTTTTTGCAATTTAAGTCATCGCTATCATCTTTATACTTTATAAAATGATATTTTCAACCTTTTACTTTTTAAAATGTTATATTCACTCCCTTTACTTAAACTTTAAAAAATATCAATTTCATCCATTCTATTTTCTTAACTTTTGTTTTATCCATCATAATATATATAATTTGATTTACCTACGGTTACCACTCCTTTAATTTTCTAACATTTGGTATATCTCGGTATAAATTAGAGGTGATCAAAGTTTCAATGTAAATTTAGAACTTTAGTTCGTTAATTTAAAAAATTATTTGCTTTTTATATATGTTTCGGTATAAATTCGAGTTCGTCTACGTTTATTTATAATTTTTTACGTTCCAGTACTTATTTTTATGTGCGTTTCCTATGTATGAGCCGGATCACATGTAATACGTTTCTGTTCAAAATATAGCAATTTACTTTTTACTACTTCTCGAATAAATTACTGTCGCCACAACCCGCGAGACATAAAATCCTAGTTTACTCTAAATATCAATCGGATGGGCCACGAATTCAAAGAAATAAAAAAAGGAATGATAAATAATTTTATTTAAAAAAAATGCAAGAATCTCACACGAGTACAATAAATTAATAAAATAAATATATATATAATTTTAATTCTTATAAATTACACAGTTATCAAATATTATCACCCACACACACACACACTCCATTTCTCTTTCATTTCATGTCAATGGAGGACACCGCTAAACCTCCACCACAGTCGTCACTCTCCTTACCATGGAGAACACGCATTGCTGTTTCCGTTCTCACCACCGTCACCGACGCAGCTTGCCGGAAAAACGGCACTGTCAACCGTCGTCTTCTTAGCTTCGTCGACTTCCGGAATCCGCCAACGGCAAAATCAATCAACGGCGTAGCGTCACACGACGTCGTTGTAGACGAGGGTCGTAACCTCTGGTTCCGTGTCTACGTACCTACACAACACGCCGGTGAAGATCTCCCAGTGATCGTGTTCTTTCACGGAGGCGGATTCGTCTTCCTAGCCCCCGATGTCCTGGTATACGATGCCGTTTGCCGTCGGTTCGCGAGAAAAGTGCCGGCAGTCGTTGTTTCTGTAAACTATCGCCTTGCGCCTGAGCATCGGTTTCCGGCGCAACATGATGATTGCTTCGATGTGCTCAAGTTTCTCGATAATGAAGAGAATAGGTCAAAATCGTTGCCGGAAAATGCGAATCTGTTGCGTTGCTTTCTCGCTGGAGATAGCGCCGGTGGAAACCTATCTCATCATGTTGCTCAAAGAGCCTGTGAATTCAACTTCCAGCGACTCAAGGTATATTAATTTATACTCTACCAGATTAATTACTCTGTCATTATTTACAATCAAATAGTTCCGATTCCAAATTAAGAAACGATTATAAACAATTTCATAAACACCTGTTGTGAATCATGTGAGCAATTATTAATCATCTCATAAATCGATTAATAGATCGATCGTTGTTTTCCCCATGATGTAATCCAGTGAACCACTCATTTATTTGACTCTGACATTAAAGAAATTCTCGTGTTTACCATTGACGTCTGCATCAGTCTTCTCACCAACCACTACCAACTTTAAAATTAATTCAAATTACTACAGCCACAACGTGTCGTTCACTATCTACATCACACTCATCTTAAAAGTCTCTGCAACCATATTATTATCGGTTATAACGAAAACTTGCATCACCAGGTAATCGGAGTTGTAGCAATTCAACCGTTCTTCGGCGGAGAAGAGCGGACGGATTCCGAGATCCGCCTTGAGGGAACACCAAATAGTCTCAATAAAACGAACCGATTGGATATGGAATGCATTTCTACCACAAGGGGAAGGGTTCAACCGGGACCACCCAATCATCAACGTTAGCGGCCCAAACGCGGTGGAGATATCAAAACTAGACTTTCCGGCGACCATGGTGGTGGTGGCGGGGTTCGACGCCTTACATGACTGGCAAAAAAGGTACTATGAGTGGCTGAAAAAGTCAGGGAAAGAAGTGTATTTGTTTGAGTATCCAAACATGTGCCATGCTTTCTATATCTTCCCAGAATTGCCTGAAGCTGGACAACTTATTATGCAGGTGAAAGACTTCATTCACAAGGTATCGAGTAATGTTGCTACTTTGTAGACAAAGTAGTACGTTGGTCCATTATCCCTTTTAATACGTATGCATTGTTAGTTGTACCAAACTCTTATTATATTGTACTTTTTGTGGGGTTTTAACCTTGATGATCTATGGCCTAATGGTCCATAAGTGGCTATGCAATAGTACAATCTTTAAATACTCGTTAGTGAAGATGATTAAGTGGGATAGATTCTTGAATATACTTTGTCTTGTTACAAAAAATAGGTATGAAATTTACCAATTGTAATGAGGGTAATCAATGCCTAAGTAATTATGAAGTTGCCCATGGCTATGATATTTGATATTGAACAAAACGATGCCACCAAGATTGTTAGTAAGGTCTTGCAAACATAACAAAAATCAAACATGTTTTTTTTAGTCTATGGGCTTTTTAGATGGATAAAGAAAAAACATTTCAAATTAAGTTGGGTTCATTTGCGACTTATAGGTGGATACATAGACATTTTATTAGTGAAATAATAGAAAGACCCAAACTCGGTTTATGGAAAATGTAAGCACAAATATCAAATAAGTTGAAGGAAAATGACATTTTTTTGCCTCAAGCAAATTCGAAACGAATAAAACAATGCAACGTAGAGATGAGCACTTAATATCAAATCCTGATTTCGTATTGATATTGTACCTGTATCGAATTTAATCATATGAGACGGTATTTGATACTCTAAAATCATAAAATTCAAGATTCGATACGATCAGTATCGGTGCTAGCACCGAAAATCGGTACTGGTAATGTTAATTTAGTTTGATACTCGGGATGGACTTTCGATTAAATTCGGTTTCAAGAAATTGGGAACGAAACCGTTTGGTACTGGTTCGTCCCACGCTCATCCCTAAATTGCAGTCTCTCTCTCTCTCTCTCTCTCTCTCTCTCTCTCTCTCTCAAATGGAAAAATCCTATTTGACACATGAAAAATTTATAATAACGAGTAGTGTAAATGGTAATATAATAACAGGTAGTACAAAATTAAATGAAGGCTCTGAAAGAGTGAATATAATATTCTACAAGGGACAATAATTACAATTAGTGATACATTATTTTCATCCAAATCACCAAGAATTATTAAGTTTCAAAGATATACGTTCTAAAAAATATCATGTTGAAACAACTAATAATGATAAAGGAGTATCTCAATATTACAAAAGTGAAATTAGGTAAGAATGTCTTTTGGAACAAGAGAAAAAGCAACCCCTTTAAATTCTTTCTTTAGTGGGACCTCAATTCCTTTCCTACCCATTGCAAGTCCTAGATTTATGACCCTTGTGCTTACACACACTAAACAATTTATTACGTAGCTTATGAATTTCACTCCCCTCATCTTCGGTTCGTCTCATTTTCTTTTTAGGTACGCCTACTAATATATGGTGTGGTGGAGGACAATAGTTAAAAGAAATTCATTCTTAGGCCACATGGCCCTTCCTTTTATAGAGTCTACCTTAAAAGAGAACATGATTTTCCATATTATAACCAATACACCTTATGCACATATATGTACATTTCTCCCACACTTCACCATTGTCTGCCATTTCATTGAGTGTTGTAATTGCATGCTTATATGGGACTACAATCAGCTCCTATTTCCTGCAACTGCACATTATTTGCCCCATGTATACCTAATGTTAATCATGTCATGAAACTTTAACCTGATATTTATGAAGGCTATTCCATCTTGAAATGTAATAGGAGGCATTTGAAATGTTTTCCTCCAAAATCCTAGTCCCGGTAGATGTGAGTGAACCTATGCATTTGTCTATAACCTTCATTACATTGTATACTCTTTTCATAAGGTATTCCTTTATGAACTCCAAACAAATGATGGCAGGTTTTTCTCTCCTATTTACTAGCTTAATATTAAATGCTTCATAAATATAATTCAACAACATGTCTGGTATTTCCATACCTGTTATTAACAATTCCATGTTGGTAGGTTTCATCATGTGACAATCAATTTAATCTTCAATAACTCTGAAGTTACCTATAAAATGGCTTCTAGCATAAGTGATGCGTATGATTTTGTCAGTAACCATTCATATGCATGCATATTATTGATGGGTTTTAGGTACAACAAATAAACTAGAAAACAATTCCTAAGTTCAGATGCAACCTACTTTGGATTTATGTTTTAACTATTGAACATACAACTTTGAATTGCAAAACTAGAACCCTAGAGGAGAGAGGCTAATTTCGAAATTAACAAACTAGGGTTTAGGGTTTACATACCTTTCAATTGTTATAGCAAACAATTGATATTCCCTTGGTCTTGATCTTGATCTTCTTGGAAGCTTTAGCACCACAAGTGTAATGCCTCTAATGGAATCACACCCAATGACTAGCAAGAAGGAAAGTAGAAGAGAGAGGGGAGAGGGAGTATGCAAAATCTCGGCCTTAGGGTTTCTTCAAAAGAAAGAGTGACCAAAAACATGAACCAGGAGGCTCCTTATATAGCTGAGGGATCTAGGGTTTAAGGGAAACCCTAGTTATCCTTTGCTTAGGGCCTAAGCAAACCCAAGGGCCTTATCCAAGCCCCTATGGACGAAATTATTAGGGTTTCCCCTAAAGATTTCGTCCACCCTCTTCCAAGGGGGTTCTAGAGCCTTCCACTCAACTATTAGATAATTGCAAACTAGTCCCTGCACTTTATAATTAATTCTTTTAACCCCAAAATCAATTCTGATTAATTTCTGGCTAACAATTAATTAAACATAATGATTTCTAATTAATATATTAATCCATTAACATATTAATAAATCATTTATATATATATATTAATTTATTAATCTTATAAATTAATATCTCTCCTTTCATAATTTCCTCGTCCAGTTGCTAGGTTGAGGGCAACCCAAAAGGACTGTGCTGCTATCAATTCAAGTACATACCAATTATAGTTATGGGCTTAGACACCTAATCCAACAGTCTCCCACTTGGATAAGTCTGTAACTATAATTGCTAGTATGCCTTCTAAATTTGACCAGCAAATTGTAGCTTCCAAAAGCTGCTGCCGAACTCTGACCCAGTCAGTTACGTGTCCTAAGATAAGTGATCATATAACCCTTCGTTCTGCTTGATATCCCCAGACAAAAGACATGGAATGTAATCAATCTGTTTGTCCAGAATCTATGTTTCCCGATTCCTGATTTGTGATGATGTAGGACTTCTAATCGAACACATCAATTTAGTCCTGGCTGGGCCCAGCACATAAGTCAACACCAAATCACCGAGGGGCCCACAGATATCGCTTTTCCTGTTAGGGCAAAAGGAACGAATAAACGTTGACTCATATGCTTGTATCTTTTACTCATCAAATTATGCATGACAATACGTTTTATAACACCAAGTTACTGATGCGTTTTCGTATCACCAATGCACAATCGACTCGTAAATTACAACTCATATATCTTCGTTTCAAGATTATAAGATATTATCGTCTCAGTATTACTCGTGATGAATTCCATGAAGTAATACTCTGAGCGAGGGTTTATCCAATACTCAAATCTCAATTTCTGAGTACTCATGAACGTTGCAGCAATTCTATTGCCATGTCTATCCTTAGACAATCTGCAATCCAATTCATGACAGTCTTAATTCACTACTTACTTCCAAGAGTACGAGCGACTGTGGAGTTTGAATAATCTCATTATTCAGGAAGTAAAACATGCAAAAATGGAACACAATAATAAACAATTGACAAAAGGTAGTAGCCAAACTTATAAATAATACTTTATTATTTAATCACCAAAAGTCAATTACATTTACTTTGTTACAAGTTTCAAAAACTAATCTAACTACTAAAACTAATATCATCTTTCAGTCATATGCTCCGAGCATGCTGAATATGCTTAGCCCTACTCAGACCCTTTGTGAGGGGATCTGCTGGGTTATCTTCAGATGACACCCTCTTAACTATAAGATGGCCTTCTTCTACTCTATGTCTGATGAAATGGTACTTTCTGTCGATATGTCTGGTCTTACCATGATCTCTCGGTTCCTTTGTCAAGGCAACCGCTCCTTCATTATCGCAGAACAGTTCCATAGGCTCCTGGATGGTTGGAACAACTCCGAGATCTCCGATGAAGTTCCTCAACCAAGCTGCTTCTTTTGACGCTTCACTTGCTGCTATGTACTCTGATTCACAAGTAGAATCAGCCACCGTATTTTGCTTGGAACTCTTCCAAGTAACTGCTCCTCCATTCAGTAAAAACACCCAGCCTGACTGAGAACGGAAGTTATCTCTATCCGTCTGAAAGCTGGCATCACTGTAACCATCTACTCTCAAAGTATCACTGCCACCAAGCACAAGGACCCAGTCCTTTGTCCTTCGCAAATACTTGAGTATATTCTTAACTGCTATCCAATGAGCTCTACCCGGGTTTCCCTGATAGCGACTGACCATGCTCAAAGCAAATGCCACATCAGGGCGAGTACATGTCATAGCGTACATGATCGATCCGACAGCGGAAGCATAAGGTACACGACTCATGTCATCTATTTCAACATCTGTACTCGGGCATTGAGTCTTACTCAATTTGGTATTGCTCTGGATAGGTAGCTCTCCCTTCTTGGAATTTTCCATACTAAACCTCTTTAGTACCTTATCCAAGTATGTGCTCTGACTAAGTCCAATTAGTCTCTTCTTTCTATCTCTCAATATTCTAATCCCAAGAATATAGGCAGCTTCTCCAAGGTCTTTCATGGCAAAACACTTTCCAAGCCAAGACTTAACTTCTTTCAAGGTTGGACCGTCGTTACCAATGAGTAATATGTCATCGACATACAACACCAGAAAAGTTATTATACGCCCACTAGCCTTGATATACACACAAAACTCATCTTCACTTCTAGAGAAACCAAACTCTTTGACTTTCTCATGGAAGCAAAGATTCCAACTGCAAGATGCTTGTTTCAATCCATAAATGGATTTCTCAAGCTTGCACACTCTATTGGGGAACTTTGCATCAAAAAAACCCTCTGGCTGACTCATGTAAACATCTTCAGCCAACTTCCCATTAAGGAAAGCAGTTTTGACATCCATCTGCCAGATTTCATAATCATGAAAGGCAGCTATGGCGAGCAATATCCTAATAGATTTAATCTTAGCCACTGGCGAGAAGGTCTCATCATAGTCAACCCCTGGGGTTTGAGTGAAACCTTTTGCAACCAGTCGAGCCTTGAATGTGTGCACATTTCCATCCATGTCTGTCTTCTTCTTGAAGATCCATTTGCACCCAACTGTCTT